AGTGTAAGACAGTATGTAGACATTAGTCTTTTCTTTCAAACTCTGTAAAACCTGAAACTTGGTTTATGACAAGGAATTCTAATCTTTCTAATCACACCACACCCTGTAAGACTTTCCTTTAAGGAAAGGCCCTCATGCATTCCTGAGCCAGATGGCCTGGGGTGGTGGAGCTCTTCCCTCCCTGCTGATTCTTTAAACTAGTCAACAGGGAAAGACTGTGAGAGTGAACCCCAGCCAATGGGGAGGGACACAGCTCTTTAGCATTAGGGATAAAAGCCCCTCAAACCTTTAAGGGTCCCATGCTTACCTACTGGATCTGACTGATCACGCAGTTCTCCCTTTTGCAAAAGTAAAATCTGCCTTGCCGAGCTACTTTCTGCTTGGTCCATGTGTTCTTTGTGCAGCACTGGATTTTATTTCTAACAATAAGGCAGGAATATAACTTCATTTTAAGAGGGTTCTACAGGATTTGGGGCTAAAACCCAATTACATATGGAGGAGATAGTGGTCAACACTTGGCTTTGGGGATACAAAATACAAGAGAACAGAAAATACAATCTTGAGAAGAGTGGAGAGTGAGCAATATAATGATATTACCATCAATCACCAGTTTCCCTTTCTCACTAAAAGTTCATTCTTACAAGTGTGAAAGCAAAACTTATACTTTGTTCAGGCTCCATCATGAGTATTTGTGTACATCCTGAACTATAGTTGAGGGAGACACACACACACACACACACACACACACACACTGTACACAGACATAAAACATACTGAGAGTTACAGCAGTAAACATAATCCCACCTCAGAGCTGCATTTCAGCTGAAGGATATAATGCAATAAGCACAGATGGGCGTAGAATCCAGAGCAGGGAGTGGAAATGGCTTTGTCTGATGTTAATATTTGAGAACAGGCCTGGAGAGAGAGAGAGCTATGGGATATTTTGTGAGCATATTCTAAAAACAAAAAATAGTAGGAAGAAGGTCCCTAACACAAGCAGCCAAGGAGTGATTTATAGGGAAGGGGAGCAAAGAGGTAGTTGAGGATCAGAATACACAGGCCATTGAGGTGCCTCTTAGGTCACTGATAAGTTTTCATTCTTTTATTCTAAATGAGATGTTCTGCTCTTTGAAGAGTTTGACTAAAACAATAAGGTAGTTTGCCTTAAGAGGGTATGTTTGTTTTCTGGTACTGGGAACTAAACCCAGGGCCTTTCACATGCTAGGCAAACACTCTACCATTGAGCTATATCCCCAGCACCTTGACTTTTGTTTTTATATTAAAAAAATCTTTCTGGGGGACTGGAGAGCTGGTTTAGCAATTAAGAGCACTGGCTGCTCCTGCAGGTCTGGGATTCAGTTTCCAGCACCTGCATGGTGGCTAACAAACTTCTGTAATTCCAGTTCCAGGGGTCTGATGCCTACTTCTGGCCTCCACAGGCATTGTATACACGGTATACCTACATGCATGAAGGCAAAACACTCCCCATAAAATAAAAGAATAAACTAAAGGAAATCTTTTGGGGGAACTGTTGAAGAATAGATCTTAGAAGAAGAGAGGAATAGAAGCTGTTTAGGAAGGGGCCATAATAATTCAAGAGAAAATACTCAATATGAATGAAACTGGTGAACTGAGTATAGGTTTGATAAAAAGAGCTAGCATTTACTAATAAGAATGAGAAACCGGTTTATAAAGGGAAAATCAAGATTTTTATTTTTGCTATGTGTGGTATAGCACGTGTAATATGTTCATGTGTGACGAGTCCTCAGGTCAGTGTTGGACATCTTCCTCTATCACTCTCTACCTTATCTGTATGTGTTTATTTTTGAGACAAGGTCTCTCATTGCACCTGGAGCTCACTGATTTGATTCAGCAAGATTAGCTGGCAGGTGAGCTCCAGACAGCCTCCAGTGTCCCCAGTGCTAAGGATTACAGGCAGACACCTCCATGCCCAGCTTTTCATGTGGGTGCCAGGGATCTGAATGAACTCAGGTCTTCAAGCTTCTGTGGCAAACACTTTACTAAGTGACCCAGCTCCCCAGCCCAAGAATACTGCTTTCAACAAAATTTTGAGACTCCTGGTAAGTCTCCCAGTAGAACTATCCCAGGAGATTGAGAATATAAAAATCAGGAAACTAGGAAAGAAAAATAAACTTATAAGATCCAATTCAGTCTAGTTCTGGTCTTTGAATAGGTATCTGTACTTGCTTTCTGGAAGCATTTAGAATCATAACATATCAAAGCATGCTATTTTTCCTTAGAATGCCTCAACCTTGGTCTCACAAATATTTTAATAAAACCCTTTAGTCTTACTGATTCACTGTTACTATTTGCTGAACTGAACTTGTATTATGTGTGCACACACACAAGCCCTGAATCACTTGAAAATAAGCCGTAAACATGCTGACATTTCTAAGTATTATAGCTTATCTTTCTTAAGAAGGACATTCTCTGGGCTGGAGAGATGGTGGTTAAGAGCACTGGCTCTTCTTACCGAGGACCTGGGTTCAGTTCCCACCACCCACATAATGGCTAACAACCATCTGTAACTTCAGTTCCAGGGGATTTGACACCCTCTTCTGGCCTCCAAGGGCATATAAGTGGTGCTCTTATATATATGTAGGCAGAACACTCATATACATAAAATTAAACAAAAAAAGGACATTTTCCTATATAGCTGCAATGCCACTATTAAATCTTTTATTATTTTACGTGTATGAGGTCTTTGACTTGTATGACACTTTTCAATACAAAAGTTCCAAACATCATTTCTTTTACTCTGGGAAATTGTTGTTCTTGAAATATTTTAAGGTTAAAACTAAGCAAGAATATGAGAGACTGACTCAGTTGGAAGTCTGAAGTTATAGCAGGACTCCAAAGCTGGCTGAACTCTGAGTGGATCAGTTCTGATTCTCACCTGAGTCCTCCAGTAGTGGCAAATCCCAGTTGTCAACTTGATGAGATCTAAAATCACCTGAGAGATGGGCCTCCCAGCATTCATTGGGAAGGGGGTGGTAATCTTGATTTCTTTCAGTGAGGTAGAAGACCTATCTACTGTGGTTGGCACCATTCCCTAGACAGGGGACCCTTGACGGTACACAATGGAGAGAAGAAACAGCACTAGCATGGATTCATCATTATTGCTCTTTTCTCTTTATGTGGCTGCAACATGGCCAGTTCTCTTACGCACCAGCTGTGATTTCCCTGCCATGACACACTGTAATCTGTAACTGTGAGCCAAATAAACTTTCTCCTTAAATTGCATTTTGTTGGAGTATTTTATTACAGCAACAGAAAAATAAACCAAGTTTCCTCCTCTGCTTACTATTTTTACCCCCACAATAACAGACTACTCAATCTTTTTGCTATCTTTTGAAAGCAAAATAGTTTCTTTCCAACAAAATAACAGCATTCTGCCTGTTCTATTCACGGTTATTCTATTTTGAAATGTTAAGTGTTAGATTGATATTGGTCCCTGAAGGGAGCTGGGATAACTTTTAAACCAATCCTGTCACCCCTAAGGACTGGGGTGGGGTGGGTGCCCTGCTTTCTGAAACACATGTGTGACAGTACTATTATAAAAAGAAAATTATTAGCTGGGTGTGGTGACTGTATTACCTTTAATCCCAGCACTCAGGAAGCAGAGGCAGGCAGTTCTCTGTGAGATCCAGGCCAGCCTGGTCTATATAGCAAGTTCCTGGCCAGCTAGGGCTACAAGACCATCTCAAAAAACAAAACAAAACAAAACAGAATTAAAAAAAAAAAATGCTGTCAATGATACTTCATAGGAATATCCTCTACTAAATTATAGCCCATGACAAATACATATGAAGAAACAGTCTAGAATATTTTAACATGATGCCATTCTGTGTTCAGTTAATTCATAAAGGCAGGGTTGTGTGATCTTTGCTGAAGCCCCCATCTTTCAATCTCTCAAATGTGCAACTCTACATATCCACTTGAGTAAGTTTGTCAAATTCAGATCAGAATGCTTGATAAACGTTTAGTTTCCCAACTTACATTGCTTCTCAGTTTTCCATCCTAATAACAGTGTCTACCTAGCTGTTCAAACCAAAACCTAGGGACTTCACTCTTACCTGAAGCTAGTCCTCAGGAAGATTTATAATCATACCCTCAAAATATAATACTAATCACCCATAAAGCTTATGGAGTTAATACACAAACTGTGAAGATTAGACACTGCTCACTTTCATAGATCCCAGGTATTGCTGATGTAGTACTAAGATATTGCTGATCTGACTTTGAGTCTTTCTGGTCCAGGACACTGCCACAGGTTCTTTAACTGGAGCTTGTATGTAGAACCAATGACTGATAAAAACAATAGGGGGGGCACGATCTTTAAATTCAATGACATCATTATTGATTCCTATCCAAAAGTCTGAGTTCCCAAAGCACTCAGAATCATCTCAGTAAATAACCCTCCCTTAAGTCATCATACCTGGCCTTTCTCCTCAAGCATTCCCAATTCTGGATCAGAAATAATTTTTCCCATTGTCTGAAACCATTAAATATAATGAAACTTATAATGGGGAGGGGTACTTCTTCAGCTATCAAGTACGTTATTTACAGTATTCCAAGTAGGAGGAAAAGATGACAGCAGTATTCCTAGATTTAAAAAAAAAAAAAAAATCAAACATCCCTAGCATAACTGGACAATCTCCAGCTGACAGGGCAAGCATATACTAGAGAAAAATAACTTAAAGGATTTGCAGTAACTTACGTACTTAAGAGCAAGATTGAAGTAAACATTAATACATTAATAACCAACGTACTTCCAAGACCACAGCTGTAGCTATATACTTTCTACACCTCTACTTAGCAACCCACATCGCCCTTCCATCAGCCTAGGGTACATACCTGTACATCGCGAACTCCAGAGATAGCTAAAAGCAGAAAGCAAGGCTGGTAATTGTTACATAACCAGAAAGGCCAAAAGAACATAAAAACCTCAGGACAAGCAACACCAACTCTACCCAAAATTGAGACAGCTTCTTTCGGTGAGGATGTAGGTGGCTCTGAAAAGAGCCTTTATAGTAGGAGGGCTGGCGTGCGCCACACTAGCGGGGACTCTACTTGGAGCTGGTGTACTTGGTGACCGCCTTGGTGCCTTCGGACACGGCGTGCTTGGCCAACTCCCCGGGCAGCAACAGGCGCACGGCTGTCTGGATCTCCCGGGACGTGATGGTCGAGCGCTTGTTGTAATGCGCCAGACGCGACGCCTCGCCTGCAATGCGCTCGAAAATGTCGTTGACAAACGAGTTCATGATGCCCATGGCCTTGGAGGAGATGCCGGTGTCGGGGTGTACCTGCTTCAGCACCTTGTACACGTACACCGAGTAGCTCTCCTTGCGGCCGCGCTTGCGCTTCTTGCCGTCCTTCTTCTGCGCCTTGGTGACCGCCTTCTTGGAGCCCTTCTTGGGAGCTGGCGCGGACTTGGCCGGATCAGGCATGGCGAAAAGCAAAGTAACAAAGCAACCACGACACCGCGAGCTACAGCACCAGGAGGCAGGAGGCTGCGAGCGCGAACAACCGGTACTTAAAGAGGGCGCAGGCAAATGAAGGTTCTGGTCCCACCGGGATGTGATTCGCGAGTTTTCAGCAGCGCCAAAGCCAAGGAGACGGGAGTATGGAAATGAGAGTATTCTACTGGCGCTCTCCTATGGGTCGTCGTGACGAGAGCCTGCTTAGCCAATGAGCGTGGCCAGCGGACAATCCCAGTTCTGCCTATAAAAGGGTGAGGCGGCAGCGTCCGTGACTTCTTTCGAGGTTGTCAGTTGTAAGCTATCATTGTTTTGTTCGTCGCTGTGATGTCTGGTCGTGGCAAACAGGGGGGCAAGGCCCGAGCTAAGGCCAAGTCGCGCTCCTCTCGCGCTGGCCTGCAGTTCCCGGTGGGCCGCGTGCACCGCCTGCTGCGCAAGGGCAACTACGCGGAGCGTGTGGGCGCCGGCGCGCCGGTGTACATGGCGGCCGTGCTGGAGTATCTGACGGCCGAGATCCTGGAGCTGGCGGGCAACGCGGCCCGCGACAACAAGAAGACTCGCATCATCCCGCGCCACCTGCAGCTGGCCATCCGCAATGATGAGGAACTCAACAAGCTGCTGGGCAAAGTGACCATCGCCCAGGGCGGCGTCCTGCCCAACATCCAGGCTGTGCTGCTGCCCAAGAAGACCGAGAGCCACCACAAGGCAAAGGGCAAGTGAGGCTCCCGTGCTCCCCTCCCCCGCCCCAACCGCAACTCGAAGAACGGAACCCCGCAAAACCAAAGGCTCTTTTCAGAGCCACCCACTGTTTCAGATTAAAGAGTTGTGACATTAGACATTAGCCGTTCTGCTGGCTTTCGGTGGCAGCCGCCGTACTCGCTGCTCCCCAAGTCCCCGATTGCCCTGCCCTCCCTTCTGGTCTTGAGCCCCCGGCTCGTCAGTGGGCGGTTGGTCCTGGCCAGTGTGTCCGCAGGCCCTTTCCAAGTCGACACTCGGCTGCATGCACCTGGGCCCGCGCTGTCCCCAGGTGTTCTGGAGTTCGGGGATAGTTACCTGCTCTACCTCCCTTCTTAAGCTTCGCGCCCCAGCGTTAAATGAGGTCTACGCGACGTGGTGACCACGGCCGCCCCGTGAAAGTTACGGGCTGCGGAAGGTCTGGGTCCTGGCCTCACTGGTCTAGTGTTGTGGATTTCTTAGATGGTCTCCCTGTACCCACAGCTGTCCTGGAGCTCACTATGTGGACCAGGCTGGCCCCCATCTCACAGACCCGCCTGCCTCTGCTTCCTGATTGCTGGGATCAAGGGCGTGCTGACGTCACCGCGCCCGGCCCCCAGGTTCTCTTTTGGACACAAGGTCTCCCGGCGGAGCCCGGGCTAACCGCGGAGCTCAGTATGCAGACCAGGCTGGCCTCTAACTCAGAGCCGTCTGCCCTGCCTGCCCAGACCTGGGTTTCGTTTCTAGATGCGCTGGGCGCAGGTCCGGGAGCGTCTTGGGCGGAGCCCCGCGGTAGGAAGACTAGGAGGGCGTGGGCAGTCAACCAAGATGACTTGCAAGCGCGCAGAAAGTGGGACCAGGGCCAGGCCAACTGCTGGCTGGGTGGAGCGCGGCGGAGTGGGAGTGGGAGTGGGGGTGGGTAGGGGGCCGGCCCGAGCCAATCGGAGGCGCCGGTGTGGGTGACGTCACAGCCAATGGCCGGGCAGCGCGGGACTTTCGAGTGGGTTTCTCCGCCCCGTTGGGAAGCCGGTACGTATAAAGACGGCTGCGTTGGCGCTCTCTGGGCAGCGTCTCCTCTGTTGTCTCGCGCACGGTTCCTTCGGCCATGGCCCGCACGAAGCAGACGGCCCGTAAGTCCACCGGTGGCAAGGCCCCGCGGAAGCAGCTGGCCACCAAGGCGGCCCGCAAGAGCGCACCGGCCACTGGCGGCGTGAAGAAGCCGCACCGCTACCGGCCCGGCACCGTGGCGCTGCGCGAGATCCGGCGCTACCAGAAGTCCACCGAGCTGCTGATCCGCAAGCTGCCGTTCCAGCGCCTGGTGCGCGAGATCGCGCAGGACTTCAAGACGGACCTGCGCTTCCAGAGCTCGGCGGTGATGGCGCTGCAGGAGGCCAGCGAGGCCTACCTGGTGGGGCTCTTCGAGGACACCAACCTGTGCGCCATCCACGCCAAGCGTGTCACCATCATGCCCAAGGACATCCAGCTGGCCCGCCGCATCCGCGGGGAGCGCGCTTGAGTCATCCCGAGTTCTTAGACCACCAACAAAAGGCTCTTTTCAGAGCCACCCACAGGCCCTCAGAAGGAGCTGTTCACTTTGTACTGTCTGAGCGGGGTTGCCTCCGGTGGAACCTGGAGGAGGGGGTGACCCCCTGAGAGTGCCACTGAGAGTGTTGTGTGGTCTTGGGTCTGGGAGGCCAAGAGCCAGAAGTCAGATATACAGCTCACAGTTCCACTGGGCTGGGGCAAGCAGGTAGAGGCAGAGCTGATCCACTGGAAACTGGAGAATGCCGGGCCTACCAGTGAGTGGACAGCATTCTGGTTGCCCAACAGCTTTGTCCCAAGCGGGACTAAACAGGCAAGATGGGATGGAATATAGGAGGCTTCGGGAGTATCCTTCACAACAGGTCTGAGCAAGGTGGAGGCAGAGCTGGCCTTGCCATCGAGGAGACCTGACTTCCAGCCCATAATTGCCATACTAGATTACTAGACCTGAGTACTCAATGTAGTCGCTGTTTCTATAGGGCATTGTTTGGGGATTACATCTTGGGTTGTCAGTAGTATCAGCAATATCCAGTGACACAGTCACACCCTTCCTTTTTATTCTCCCTCTCAGGCCTTGGTAGTCTGACAACTAGGAATTAACATTCATTGCTGAGACCTATCCTTCAGGATTCTGTGCATACATCAACTTGACAAGTTCGTTTCCTCCCCTATTCCCACCTGATCATTTTTAAATGCCAGCACAACTGTCAAATAATGGTGGAGACAGTTCTGGATAGGAATGGACCCCAGATGTCAAGTATCTCCTATCCCTTGTCTAGCATTCTGCAAGCTCAAATTGTCCTCTGCTTTTCCTTGGCCTGGACACAGTTGTCTGTTGAGATTGGATGTTTGGCCTGAACTTTGAGGACATTGGTAATTAGCTAAGGTCATTGGGACCTAGATCTTAGTGGTGACCTTCCCTCCTCTAGTCCACTGTCTCCGGCTTCTGGGAATTTTTCCTGAGAAGGAAACTTGGACTTTGTCTAAATCTTTGAGAAGTTATCCAACCCAAGTCTTTCTGAGTTCAATATACTGGTGGTCATTGAATCAGGGACACAGCATGTCTCCCTCTTTTCTCTGCCAGCACCTGGGAGTCCCCAGAGCCCAGCTCTGTAGGTTAGAATGGAAGACAAGGACCGAGGTTGTTTAATTGGTTGTAGTGGGACAAGATCTTGCAAAGCTTGTAGTAAACTGGGTCTCCCCATCGCCCCAACAGGCCTGGAACTTACCTTGTAGACCAGGCTGGACTCCATCGCATGGTGATCTACCTGCCTCTGCCTCTCCCTCTGATTCTGCCTCTGCCCCTTTGCCCCTCTGCCCCTCTGCCCCCTGCCCCTGCCTCTGCCTCTGCTTTGCATGTATTTAAGTGCACCCATGTTTTGTCATGCCTGTGGAGGTCAGAAAAGGGTGTCGGATTTCCCTGGAACTGGAGTTACTGGACAGTTGTCAGCCACCATGTGGGTGCTGGGAACCAAACCCAAATCCTCTGCAAGAGTAGTCAGTGCTCTAGACTGCTGAGCCATCTCTCCAGCCCAAGACTGAATACATTTTAGTTGATTTTCTTTGATTAATTCTGCTCAGAAAACACCCCTTTTGTGCTTAAAAGGATTGCATTTATTTGTTTGTTTATTTATTTATTTATTTATTTATTTATTTATGTATATGAGTGTTTTGCCTGCATGCAAGTAGGTGCACTGTATCCAAGACGGCTAACAGCCGTCTGTAACTCCAGTTCCAGAGGATCTGACACCCTCTTCTGGTCTCTGCAGGCATTGCATGACACAGTGCAGTTACATACATGCAGGCAATACACTCATAAAATAAAAATAATCAAAATATTTTTTAAAGTACTCAGTCTCTTGAAAATTATAATAAAGTCCACAAGATAGCTCAGAGAGTAAAGACACTTGCTGCTAAGCCTGGGGATCCAAGTTCAGTTCCCAGAACCCACATGGTAAAAGGAGAGAACCAACCTGAAAGTTGTCCTCTGATCTCCACACCAGTCAGGGTGCACATGCACCGCCCCCCCCCCACACACACACAAATGTGAAAAAAGAAAAGGAAAGAGAAAGGGAAAAAAATTCTCATCAGGTTCTTCTGGAAAAAGTCAGCCACAAAACTGGCATTATTAACTGGATTGTGGGTTTTGATACAGCTGATGGTAGCCTCAGCTAAGACAGTGGTTGAGGTGAAAATAGCTGAGTAAAAGGGGTGGGAGATGCAATTAAAAAGATGTGGTGACTTGGCATTTGGAGAATGCACAGGGAAAGAACTTTCGGCTGAGGAGCTAGTAGATAGATTTCAGTCAGGTAGAGCATGAAGCGGAGAAAAGCAAGTGCATCAAGAAGACACATCAAGGCCCATGACACTAAAACCAAGGTTCCTGTTATCTAAGAGCACAGTCTGTCAGGAGTTGAAAATTTTAACCTATTAAAGTGGCTCAGCTAGATGTAATTGTGGGGAGGCCCTCAGCAGATAGCTGAAAGGATAACAGAAGACAGAGAACCAGATGAGATCCACCCAGGAGTTAGAGGAGACAGGGCTACAGAGGTGACACTATGGTTAAGAGCACATACTGCTCTTGCAGAGGACCCAAGCTTGATTCCCAGCACCCACATCAGGTGGCTCACAACTGCCTGTAGCTCCAGCTCCTGTGTATCAAACACCCTCTTCTGGCCTCTGCAGGTACCTGCACCCACATGCACACACCCATAAAAACAAAATCTTTGAGTCAGGCATGGTGGCTCACACCTTTAATCCCATCACTTGGGAGGCAGAAGCAGGCAGATGTCTGTGAGTTCACGGCCAGCCTGGTCTATTTAGTAACTTCAGGCCACCTGCGGCTTACAGGGAGACCCTGTCTCAAAAAGACCAAACTAAACAAAACAAAAAAACATGTTGTAGTTTCTACTACAAACCCCTTAACTGGTCTGAATATACTTAGAGAACAAAAATAAAATCTTTTAAAAAGAAAAGACCAAGATTTGCACCTGGTTCACATAAGAACTTTGATGGGAGAATGCCTAAAACTCAAAAAGATAGCTGGAGAGAGACAAAGACCAGGAGAGAACAGCTGAAGGAAGCAAAGGTAGTATTAACTGGGCCACACTGTGCACTGAATAATTGATATCAGCATGTTCCTTAAGCTTTGTGACTTCCACCTGTGCTTTTTGTCACAGCTCCTTTAGTCAATGTAACAACCCTGCAAAGCAGGTAGATTTTTTATCATCCCCATTTTACGGAGTAAGGAACTCTGAGTATTTGCCCAAATTCCCACAACTAGTGTCCAAAGTGTGAGATAGACCCCAAAGGGGATAAATAACTTAATGTGGGACTAATGAACTTTCATCTAAGTAAAACTTTGTCCTATGAATAAGAACTAACAAATTTATTTGAAAAGAACCTTATGTACTCTAATAAAAAGTATCCTTGCTGATATATGTAGCAGTAACAGGACTTTGGAAGCCTCTGAGCTCAGTCTCAGATAAGACAAGGCAGACAACCACAAAAACTGCAGTCTAAGTGCCTTGGAAAATGCTGCCTCTTGCAGTGGTCTTTCAGGAAGCACCTGCTACCTGTATCTTATTTGTTAAAGTGGCTAGGTATGTTTCGAGTCTTCTTGATGGGCCAGGTCAGTCTTGGGCTACTTTCAGTAACACTTAAAGAGAAAACAAATGAACAGCTCATACCTGAAGCCCAGAGTAGGTATGACAGTTGGGCACATGATGCCCAGGGTTTAGAACCTCACTGCTTTAATTAACTGCTTAGTAGCTTGACTCCACAAATGTGTCAAGGACAGAAGCCATGATTCTAAGTTGTCACTCCTATGCTTTAAATTCTTTCCATACTCTCAGGCTCTTTACACTAAATCCACACCACATGCTATAGTACAGAGAAGCAGAAACTCAGAAGACTACAGGATGGCTAGGTCCTGGCTCTGCCTCTTACCACCTGCGTGGCGTAGGCAGATACTGTCTCATTGGGCCTCAGGTCCTCATTTCTAAAGTGGAGATAATGTAGGTATTTGGAGACATTCAAGAAAATTTCTACCATGACAAACAGGGTGTGTGATCCAAAATAAACAATAGAAGCATTTAACTATTCAGAAAAATTAAAGTTACAAAGACATGCTTTCTTACCACCTCTAAATTGTAAAACTAGCTCCCTCCTACTCCCCCAACCCACCTCACTCCCAGCTCTTGACTCTATGTTCATAAATTATTTCCCTAGAAACACATTTGTTCTGGCCCTGTCCAGTACCTGTAATTCCAAATGGGATTGTGACTAGGCAAAATCCTTTTTTTCTATTCAGGTATCTTCCTCTCCTTCACAGGCCTACTGTGTAGTCATCAGAACACATCCTCGTGAAGCTCTCACATGACCCACTGTCACCACCACCCATAGGCCTCCTCCTCAAGCTAACAGACAGCACTGTTCTTAAGTTCCAAACAACATACTATCTGCTCTGTCTTATCATTTCCTCCTGCTAGATTCCAAGTAAGTTCCTTCAGGGTGAATGCTTTGCTTTGTTCATCTCGTCAGATTGGCATCCTGCAAATGCTTATAACATAGTAGATGGTCAGGGAACGTGCAACAAGGGACCTAATTCTACTGGCTTCAAAATTGTCACTCAAAAGGACACAAACCCTAGGTGTCTATCTGCCCTCAGAAATTTGCAGCCCAAGAGCAAGTTGAGCCTTGACTCTGGAAAGAATTTCTTCCATGGGGGGTCCCAGAATAGGAAAGTAGGTAGCTCCCCTAGGACAGTAGTCCTTATCCACAAAATCCACAAATGGCTGAAGTCTACCACTAGCCAGCTCTGTGGCTCTAGCTGAGGACAGAGTTCTTGAGCAGCACCCACATCAGTGCTTGAAGGGAGATACTTTATGGAGGGGTGCTCACTTGCTGAATAATAGCTCCTCTTCCCCAAATCCAAATTCATCCACATCCCTGTCTCTGGAACTTTTGGACATCTTTTTTTTTTTTTTTTTTTTTTTTTTTTTTTTTTTTGGTCTTTTTTGAAACAGGGTCTCCCTGTAGCCCCAGCTGTCCTGGAACTCACTAGGTAGAAAAGGCTAGCCTTGAACTCACAGAGATGTGCCTGCCTCTGCCTCCCAAGTGCTGGTACTAAAGGTGTGAGCTACCATGCCCCTCAACATCATCTTAGATAGCAAGGAAACCTTGTAAATGTGAATAAGCAAAGGACTTGAGATGGGCAACTTGCCCTGGGTCACCAGAATAAGGCCTTAATATAATCACAAGAGTTTTGTTTTTTATTTAGATTCATTTTTACTTGTGTGTGTGTGTGTGTGTGTGTGTGTGTGTGTGTGTGTGTGTGTTAGAGGCTGGAGAAATTGGGTCCCCTGGAGCTGGAGTTACAGGCTATTGTGCCTGATGTGGGTGTGGGTTCTGGGAACCCAGCTCAGGTCCTCTGCAATAGCAGTACTGCTCTTTACCACAGAGCCATCTCTCCAGCCCCAACAAAATGGAGGCAAGGGGCTGGAGATCAGTGGTTAAGAGCACTGGCTGCTCTTGCAGAGGACCCAGGTTCCATTCCCAGCACTGACGTGGTAGCTAACAACCATCCATAACTCCAGTTCCAGGGGATCCAACACCTTCTTCTGACCTCTGTGGGCCCTGCACAACACAGGTGCGCTTACACATATGCCAGCAATACACTTACACACACAAAATAAAAATAATAAAAATATTAAGGGGAGGCAAGAGGGCCTGTGAGGGGAAGATGCAGTGGTGATAGCCACAGAGATTGGAATAACATCAAAACCTGCCAGCAGTTTCTAGCTATAAAGCCAAGGGACAGGTTCTCGCACTGGAACCTTCCCAAGGAATCAGTTCCCAGTTTTTTGGGCACATGTTTTAGTTCCACAAGACTCATTGTGAATTTCTAACCTCTAAAAAGAGAATTAATGTATCTATGTTGTGTTAAACCACTGTTTGTGGCCTTTTTAAAAAAAAGTTATTTATTTTTTATTTGTACAAGTGTTCTGTTTGCTGGTATGTTTATTGGTTTGTGTGCAGCACCCTTGAAGGCTGGAAGAGGGCAACAGAGCCAGAGCCACCATGTGGGTTCTGGGAGTGGAATCTTCCTTTGGAAGAACAGCAAGTACTTTTAACCCCTGAGCTGCCTCTCCAGCCCCTGTGGCAAAAGTAACCATAGAAATGAGCGTGCTACTATGACACTAGTTCTTTTTAATTGGGGGAGAATTAATGTGATAAGCAGCAAAGTACGAAGTGTACTTGGCACACAGGAGAGATCATGAAGGAACTTGGCAGCAAAGGAGAGAAAAAGAACCAGGAATGGGAGACTCCTGGCTTCAGTGATCCTCTTCCACCCACAAACTGGCTCCTCGATGGCCCTGACCCGACTTCCTGACTGGGTTAGCCCCAGCTTCCTGAGGGATCACCTGTCTTTGCAGGTGGTACTGAGATCTCCTAGACAGTATGTACCATTCCCAACTGTGGACCTCCATAGGGCTCCCCAGGCCCACTGTAGGCGAAAGGGAAGTTCACGCTGAGAGACCCGAGTGACTCCATCTTGGATAAAACCTCCATGGGACTGACCCAGCCCTGAACGCTGTTCCAGGAAAAAACACAAAAAAGTATACTTGGAACAGATAGAGAACAACTCCCCTGCCAACGGTCAATTAACCAGGGACAGGAAAGTACTAAAAGTCCAGATATCTCTTCAGATTTCCTGAACGCAGCAGTTTATGGTTTGGCACTGGGCTACAACCAATCAGATGCTTGCCAGGCTGGAGACCCCTACTTGCTGAACTTGCTGAAATAAACCTATAAAATCCTCTATCTTCCAAAGCAAGGGGGTCTCACATCTGAGATCTGCTGGGTCAGTGACAGAGTGGGCCCAAGCTTAAGCTTGCAACAATTAAAAACAAAACCCTTCTGTGTTTACATCGGTTGGCTCCTTGGTGGTCTTTGGGGTCTCATGAACTGGGCACAACAATACCACTTGCTGCAAGGATGTTGAAGTTGCTTTTTTTAGGGTTGCCAAATAAATTGCCATAAATTTATTCTTTCACAGTTTTGAAGAAAAAGTCTGAAATCAAGCTACCATGTGCCCTCAAGGGCTCTAGGGATAATCCTTCCTTGCCTCTCTCAGGTCCTGGTGACTCCTTGGCTTGCAGTAGAGAACTCCAGGCTCTGCCTCTGTTTTCACGTCAACTTCTTCCCTGTGTCTCTGTGCATCCAAATGCTCTCTTCTTTCTCTTATATAAGAATGTTTGAAGAAGCAAACCACCCACAGCAATGGGCTGGAAGCTGCTCACTTTGTTGTACATAGAAGCTTGCCTGAATCTGGATGGAGAAAAGAGCAGAAAGGGGCTGTTGTAATGGAAAGTAATCAAAGATGATTCTAGACCTTCCTACATGAGTGGCTAGGAGGAGAATACCACCTTCACTGTGACAGGAGCCTGGGAGAAGCTATGGAGTTCACTCCAGGCCTGGGGGTGGGACTATGAACGTTGAGGCAGCTGGGAGTGTGAATCTGGAGGCTGAGCCAGAGACCTAGCTGACTTCTCCTGTCCAGATGATGTTCAGGAGGCTCTGGGAGTCCCTGTGGAGAGCATATGTCTCAAAGATAGTCTTATGGGGAATACCTGCATGCACTACTTATGGATCCAAAGGGAACAGGAAAGTAGAAAATATTATCCTTGAAACCAGGGGGGTCGGGAGGGCTGGGGAGGGTTGGAGAGTTCAGGAGTATCAGGAAATTGGAACTGTGTATGCTTTCCAGCACTAATATTCTATGGTCCTATTAAATACATATGTCAAGTGGATAAAAGTTCCTACAGCCAAGTTTGATGACCTGAGTTTGATCCCCAGGACTCACATGGTAGAAGGAGAAATTGACTCCAACAAATTGTCCTCTGACTTCCACACATGCCAGGACATGCACACACACACAGTAAATAAATATAAATAATAAATAAACTTTTAATAATTAAAAATACTTATGTTAGATACATTAATAGATCCTCAGATTGTAATGTGTAAATTTCTTTCTATTTTACATTTGTTTACATATATTTATTTATTTGTGGTGCTCCTGGGTTGAACTCAGGGCATATCTGAAGTTTGCTCTCCTCCACTGTAAATATGACCCATATAACATTCAAGATTTGTTCTGAGGTTTTGAAATGGTGTGTTTATAGGACTGGTACACTTCAGACTTTCCATACCTGAGGTTTTTACCTCTTACTATTTTATGTTAAAAGTAATATAAAAGAAAACATCTGACATTAGCCTCCCCAAATCCCTTTATGTTCCTATGGTCAGCAGAATTCTAAAACTGTCCATGTGATTGCTAACCCCTAGTGTAGTTTATTTAATCCCTTCCCTTTGAGTAGAGGCAGAATCTGTGACTTGTTGGTAATTAAGAAAATATAGAACGAGGCGTGATAGTGCACCCTTTCTTATGTGTATGAGTGTATTGCCTCCATGTGTGTAAGCACACCTGTCATGCAGTGCCCAAAGAGGTCAGACGAGGGAGTCGGATCCCCTGAAACTGGAGTTACTGGTCCTCTGCAAGAACAACTAGTACTCTTAACCACTGAGCCATCTCTCCAGCCCCATGATTTTTTTTTTTTTTTAATGAGACTGGGGATAGTGGAGTCCCAGTTCTAGATCTATAGTTAGCCAATTAACCCCAGGGACTTTTGAACTTTTTGTTGTCATTGTTGCCCTTAGCTTAAGCTGATTGCTGTTTGCATTACTGAAGATTTTTCTAAGCTGTTTTTCAGAATTAACTACAGTGTGTTGAAGCTTCTACTAGGTGCCAACATTCTAAAACATATTTTTCATTTTTATTATTGGTGTGTGTGTGTGTGTGTGTGTGTGTGTGTGTGTGTGTCTATTTGTGTGTAGACAAGGGTGCCTGCAGAGGCCAGAAGAAGGCTGGATTATAGGCAATTGTTAGCCACCTGATGTAGGTGCTAGGATCAGGACTGCTACAGAGATAGCCCAGTTTCTTCAACACAGGACCAACAAGATACATATTACAGGAGAGTTAAAAGACATTAAAATCAATCACAGTATGTAGAATTCTTCTGGGTTCAGATTTACTATTTATTTATTTATTTGTTTGTTTTGTTTATTTATTTTAAATGTGTGTGTGTGTGCATGCACATGTGCCCATGGAGGCAGGAAGAGGGTATGGGATTCCCCTGGTGGTTGTGAGATGCCCAATATGGGTGCTGGGAACTGAACTCAGGTCCTCTGCAAGAGCAGCAAGTGCTCTTAACTCCTGAGTCTTCTCACCAGCCCTTAAAGTGTTTTTAAAAGATATGACACAGCTGGGCATGGTGGTGCATGCATATAGTCCCAGCACTCGAGAGGCAGAAGCAGGCAGATATCTGTGAGTTCAAGACCAACCTGGTCTACGTAGTGAGTTCCAGGACAGCTGGGGCTACAGAAAGACCTTGTCCCAAAAAAAAAAAAAAAAAAAAAAAAGATATAACACATAGATTGAAATTGAAAATTAGAACACTAGCCACATACCTAATGAGTTAAAGATGTACTGATTTACTGTTAATTGTCCTAGATGTGATTTAGCACTATGGTTCATATCTTTCAGAGAAACAAAGAAATAACATTGTGAAATAATATGGTATTCGAAATTTCCTTCAAAATAATCTGGGATGACTGTGTTGACTTTCTAGAGTTGGAAAATGGGAGCAATAGCCTCTGTGAGTGGTTGAATGCACATATGGTGTATATGTTATAAATTTAAAATGCATTATTTTTTTTAGATAGGCTCTCACTGTGCAGCCCCAGCTGGCCTGAAATTCACTATGTGTACCAGGCTGACCTCAAACTTGTGGCGATCCCATTGCTTCTGCCTCTCAAGTGCTGGGGTTTACAGGTGTGGGCCTTCAGACCCAACTAAAATACCCTTTTTTTTTGGTATTTTTGAGACAAGGTCTCTCTGTAGCCCTAGCTGACCTGGAACTTACTATGTAGACCAGGCTAGCCTCCCCAGTTCTGGAATTAAAAGGCATGCACTACCATACCCAGCTAAAATACATATTTTTAAAGCTGCTACCTAATATTTTTGGACAAGTATCTTTGAATTTTTTATTTAGGGCCTTTTGTATTTGTAAATGAAAAGTGAATCTTTGGTGGATAAGGAAATGCACACCTGCACTCCCATGACTCATGAGGCTAAGGTAGGAGAATCTTTAGTTCAAAGCCAGTCTAGGCTACATAGTGAGTCTTTGTCTCAAATCTTTAAAACTTAGAGCTGGAGGGGCTAGAGAGGTGGCTCAGTGGTTAAGAACACTGGCTGTTCTTGCAGAAGACCCAGGTTTGAATCCCAGCACCCACATGGCAGCTAACAACTATCCATAACTCCAGTGCCAGAGGATTCGACAGACTCTCCTGTCCTCCGTGGGCATTGCATGACATGGGTGCACTTACCTACATGCAGGCAATACACACATACACATAAAAATAATAAATAAAATATTTTTTAAAAAATTAGAGCTGGAGAGATGACTGCAGTTAAGAGCACATATTGCTCTTCCAGAGGACCCAAGTTCAGTTCCCAGCACCCACAGCAGGTAGCTCACAACTACCAGTAACTCCAGCTTTAGGGGATATGATACCCTCTTCTGGCCTCCCTGGGCACCCACATACATGGCATATAGTCATAATAACATACACACATATACATAAATAAAAATAAAAAATTAAATAAAATCTTGATTTTATTTAAGTTGAATACACATACACATACACAACCAAAACAACAAAAACCCACCACCTTGTAATATATTCTTCTACTAACAGTATACTAGAGTAACTATTTTTCCTAGCCCTACTCAGCACAGGGTTCTAGCAAAGCTTGACGTTTGGCCAATTTATTATTTGATTATAAGTCTCATTACTTCTCTCAAAATCTTATGGTGCTTTTCATAGCAAAAGCTAGATTTCTTCTGGTATCTCCTGCCCAAACAGTGAATCCTTTCTAGGCTATCAGAGTTCCTGCCTGACTCTGCTCCTAGGAAGCTTAGGGATAAGCTTTAAATTCATGATTATATTTTCTGCATCCAAGTATTTATTTTTGTTTGTGTTTGTTTGATTGCTGTGCTCCCCTCTGCTCCTCAATGATTGGAATTTCCTCTCAAATTCTGGGAGACTATTTATATTTAACATTCTCCAAAGTAAAGAGAAGGGAAAGGAACCTGATGCTGATGGCCACTTTTCTCAGAATGACCATCCTGTCTCTGGTCCTCAGCTCTGCCAGCTTAGAAATGCCTTTGGTGAGTAGACCAGAGATAGAAGGCTCTGAGGGACTGGATCCCACTGGCCAGGTTCCCAATAGACAAATGCACAAAGGTTAGTCATAATCATTATCACCATAGTGTTTATATTCCCGGATGAAGTACTTGCCAGGCCCAGTTCTAAGTGCTTAGATACATTTATTTTCATAACAGCCTGGTGTGTTGTGTATTCTTTTTTAAATTTTATTTTTATTTTTATGTATATGAGTGTTTTGCCTGCAGCATATATGTAGGCGCACCCATATTGCACAATGCCCGTGGAGGCCAGCAGAGGGCGTCTGATTCCCTTGGACTGGAGTTATGGGCAGTTGTTAGCTGCCAGTGAGTGCTGGGAACCAAACTTGAATCCTCTGCAAGAGCAGCCAGTGCTCTTAACTGAACCATCTCCCCAGACCCTTGCTATGTATTCTTATCTTTTCAAGGTTCAGATAAGGAATCTGAGGCACAAAAAGATTCAGAAAATTGTCCAAGGTCTTATTGTGTTTTAGTTACTGTTCTCATTGCTGTGACAAAAGGAACTTTAGGAAGGAAGGCTTTATTTTGGCTCACAGTTTGATCATGAAGAGGAAGGTATAAAGGCAGAAGCTCAGGCAGCTCATCCATTGTACCCATTGGAAGCAGAGAGCATAAACACTGCTGCTTGGGTACCCCTCTCCTCTTCATTGAGTCCAGGACCCCAGCCTGTGGAATGGTGCCAGCCACATTTGGAGTAAATCTTCCCACTTCAATTAACCTGATCTAGAAAATTCCCTATAATGGGATAGAGAGATTGCTCAGTGGTTAAGAGCATTTGCTGCTCTTCCAGGGACCCAAGTTTGGGTCCCAGCACCCAACACTCCAGTTCCAGGCCTCCATAGGTATGTGCACACAACATGGCATACACGCACATGTACACACACATAAATTAAAAAGTAAAAAATAACTCTTTAAAAAGAAAATTCCTCATAGCCATCCCCAGGGGTTTGTTTCCATTTTCACTCTAACTCCTGTCAAATTAACAATCAAGATTAACCA